CGTGCACTGTATTCAAATAATCAAGACTGATGACTGGTGTGAGGAGGCAAAAAAGATGGTGTACACTTTGATTGTAGTAGTATATAGTAGTAGTAGTAGTAGTAGTAGTAGTAGTAGTAGTGGTATATAGTAGTAGTAGTAGTCGTGGTAGTAGTAGTGGTAGTAGTAGAAGTAGTAGTAGTAGTAGTAGTATAATATCGTAGTAGTAGTAGTAGTAGTAGCAGTAGCAGTAGTAGTAGTAGTAGTATAATATCGTAGTAGTAGTAGTAGTAGTAGTAGTAGTAGTAGTAGTAGTAGTATATAGTAGTAGTAGTGGTGGTATATAGTATTAGTAGTAGTAGTAGTAGTCGTGGTATATAGTAGTAGTATATAGTAGTAGTAGTAATAGGAGTAGTAGTAGTAGTAGTAGTATATAGTAGTAGGAGTAGTAGTAGTAGTAGTAGATAGTCGTAGTAGTAGTAGTAGCAGTAGTAGTAGTAGTGGTATATAGTAGTAGTAGTCGTGGTAGTAGTAGTAATAGTAGTAGTAGTAGTGTATAGTAGTAGTAGTGGTGGTATATAGCATTAGTAGTAGTAGCAGGAGTATATAGTAGTAGTATATAGTGTTAATAGTAGTAGTAGTAGTAGTAGTAGTAGTGGTAGTAGTAGTAGTACTAGTAGTAGTAGTAGTGGTAGTGGTAGTAGTAGTAGTAGTATATAGTAGTAGTAGTAGTAAATAGTAGTATAGAGCATATAGTAGTAGGATTAGTAGTAGTAGTATATACATTCAGGAAGCAACAAAGGGAGCAAGAGGTCAAAGGGACCAAGGGATCAGGGGTTTAGGGTTTCTTTAGGCTTAGCTCACGGCTTCGCTTTTGGGTTTTCTTCTTTAGGGTTCTATTTTGGGTCTGGTTGAGGGCTTCGTTTCTTTAGGGTTTCTTTGTGCTTGGCTTGAGGCTTCTTTGGGGGTTCTTTGGGCTTGGCTTAGAGCTTCGTTTCTTTGGGGGTTCTTTGGGCTTGGCTTAGAGCTTCGTTTCTTTAGGGTTTCTTTAGGCTTGGCTTAGGGCATCGTTTCTTTAGGGTTTCTTTGGACTTTAAGCTTCGCTTGGGCCTTCGCTTCTTTGACGTTTCTTTGGGCTTGACTTGGAGCTTTCTTGGAGGATTAAAGAAGCGGGAGGGGGTTCGGGGGAGGGCGCAGCGCCTCCCCCATAACGCAAACAAGTATGGACAGCATGTTTCAAAAGCGGATAAAGCGATGTAGCAGGAGAACCGAAGGACCAGAGGACCCAGGGGACCAGAGGACCGCAGGACTAGAGGACCAGGGGACCAAAGGACCAATTGACCAGAGGACGAACAAACCAGGGCACCAGACGACCAGAAGACCAAAGGACCAGGGAACCAAGGGGCCAGAGGACCAAAGGAGCAGAGGACAAGAGGACCAAAGGACCAGCGGACCAAGGGACCAAAAGACCAGAGGACCAAGGGACCACAGGACCAAAGGACCAGCGGACCAAGGGACCAAAGGACCAGAGAGAGGATGAAAGGACTAGAGGACCGGTTACCGTTACCAAACAATTTTTGTTTTGATGCTTATTAATTTGTTTCTTGACGCCTATCAATATTTTTCTTGATGTTTATTACTTTTTTTTGATACCTCTCCCCTAGTTTACACTGTGCTGTGGCTGCACTTCCTCTTCCCTAGCTTTGGACACAATCCTCGTACACAAACATTCTTGTGGCGCAAACCTTTGCCTCCCGCCATTCTTCCCAGAATAATCAAAAACGCTTCAGATCTTTCCGGGAGCAGGAATTGCAAAACGCATCCAACCAACAATCAATTTTTTGTTGCGTTCACTCGATGCATTGCAAAGCTGGGTAAATATATGGACTCAGTGTCAACTGTTTATAAGTCATATTGTGCCTCTGCAGCTGAGCCATGCACGCTTGTTGTTAGACCAGGGCGGCAAGCCACAATTGGCACGATCGTTGTCCGGATAATGATGAAACCTCAAAGCATCCCACATCGTTCCGTGCCAACTATCCCTTGTGAGAAACTTTACATTATCATGGTGGATGTAGGACGTGCTTGTGATTGAAGATGGTCAGGCATGGGCCGCAAGTGTACGCTAAAAAAGAACATATATACAAAAATTGTTGTGTTGTTGCATACACTAACTTACGCTCGTTCACGGAATCCCAGAATGACAACAACGCAGTAAGCTTCTTGCATTGATCTGTCAAATCTGTCCCTGCCACTTCGACCTTCCACACTATGCAAATGCAAACCTGAATGTACCGGGTGCGTGTAAGGGTTTGCAATAGCCGAGAAAAGCACCGTTCAAGAACATCCTGTTGCCATACCTGAAGCTCCACATGACATCCCAACGTGCAATGAACTACAGCGTAATTAGACGTCACTCCAAAATAGACTGCCAGTCAAACATCACCAGACTGCTAGTGAAGGGATCATGCTGGCATGCACTAGTCACTAGCAGTACCACTGAGGCCAACTCTCAGTTCCAGCCCAGCCCATGCCTCAACTCAACCAACAAACCGAAGCCTTGAAGTTATATTTTGCATATTCAATTGACTGGCACTTTCAACATCTCTCAATACAAATTCTATACATATGTTTCACCTACATATTCAATCATATTCATACCATTCATTGAAATTGATTTGAAAGGATGCAAGTCGGGACAATCTCTGCTGACAAGAACAAACTCTTCCTGGTTCGTTGATTCTTAATGGCACCGAACACAGCTACAAATTGGCACCCACGCATTTTGCGGTTGATTCTTTCTCAGTGTCAGCTTCCTTTCCGCACACCTGACAGCATCTCTCCAAATCACATGTACCTCATTGTGCCTACTGTCAATCTTCCAGAGTCGAGCTAACGCGTTTGTTGATTGATTGTCGCTTGATTTTCACAGCTGGTATGCGTGAACAGCAAGCATGCATTTGACACATGTCTGCCATGTCTGCTTCCACATCTCCAACATTCAGCAGAATGGAATCGTATTTCTACTTGTGGGGAAGTGACATCAACATGTACAAAAATTACACCACCGTAGACCCCAAACAGCTTGCCTTTTTCAAACTCGGATCACTGCAACTAGAGTTTGCGACGTCCAGGGCTGGGAGAGAAAGGATCCACGATTTTTCTTTTTGCTTTGAACCAATTGTGGAACTGCAGCGTTGAAGATATATGACTAGAAGCATGCAGCGTGATTGATTGAGGACAAAAGAACGACAAACGCTTAACGATCTTGCCAGCTAGCGCCCTGATGCCGCCGACCCCCTTCTTTGAAGGGTGGCATGAGGCACAAACAAACAGGCGGTTAATCCGCGATTAGTTCTCCTAATCAGCAAAAACTATGGACAATCAGGTATTAGTATCCAATGTCCAATCCACGACCAAAAAGATTACTGTAATTGCAATCAATTACTAACTTTGAATTGAAGCATGGTTAGTGCTGAACTCTTGGCGCGGTTAGAGCCACGTTGCCGAGAGCTTGTCCACTAGCCGAAAGCAAGTGTGCCAGAAACGAAGCCTACGCGCATCCAATTTACATTTGTTTTCAGCTCTGGGCCGCTGTGTCCGCCTTTGCCTTGCAATCCTTGAATTACATGTGTCTCCCAGCTCTGACTGCTGTATCCGCCTCTGCCTTGCAATCCTTACTTTATTTGTCTCCCAGCTCTGAGCTGCATGTCGCTTGCAATCCTTTACATTTGTCCCCTGTGTCTACATGTGTCTCCCAGCTCTGGACTGCTGTGTCCGCCTTTGCCTTGTTTACCAACCACCCCCGTAAAGTCGAGCGCGTAATATTACTTTCATTTACTTTTTTATCGCTTTTTCCGTGAGGGGTCATGAGCAAGCATGGTAATGCGCACCTAGGATTTTTGAACAACCCCATATTAACCAAGCCCAGCTCGAGCTCCCAATGCAAAACTAATTTAAAGCCTGAGTTCCACCTTGACATCCCCCTAATAACATTTTCCTGGTCAGACCCCCCCTATTATTCAAAACCAGCTGACCCAGAAAAACATAGAGTCTACTATTACTATTGTATACAGCTACAATTCTTTATTGCTTGCTTATATATATATATATATTCATTTTATTTATTTATCAAAGGAAGTTTAGTGTGCAAAACTTCCGTGTTACGGACATTCAACAGCTGTTCAACCACCACTCATCATACACCACTCATCATCCACCACTCATCACACACCAGTCATCATACACCACTCATCACACACCACTCATCATACACTACTCTTCACACACCACTCATCATACACTACTCATCATACACCACTCATCACACACCACTCATCTTACACCACGCATCACACACCACGGGTCACACACCACTTATCATACACTACTCATCATACACCACTCATCATACACCACTCATCATACACCGCTCATACACCAGCTCTGGTTTCAACAGCTCAAGCTCCAGGCAACTCCAGCTCCAGGTGCGCAATACAAAATGCGTTGTGGAGAGATAGCGAACGCACGAAATGCTGTATTTTTCAATGGAACCGGTGGCTCTGAAGCTGGCAAGTCAAGGTCTGCGGAACGACGGGCGCGAGACCGTCTCGGATCATTCTCGGATCATGCTCGGAATCGTCCGTCCATTGGGATTAGAGTTTTCACTTGTTTCTTGAAGTGAAGATTTCGTGGCAGGTGCAGTGCTTTGTGAACCTCCATGTGCAGATTTCTTGGCAGGTGCAGCACTTTGTGTACCTCCATGTGCAGATTTCCTGGCAGGCACAGCACTTTGTGAACCTCCATGTGCAGATTTCGTGGCAGGCGCAGCACTTTGTGCACCTCCATGTGCAGATTTCGTGGCAGGCACAGCACTTTGTGCACCTCCATGTGCAGATTTCGTGGCAGGTGCAGCACTTTGTGAACCTCCACGTGCAGATTTCGTGGCAGGCACAGCGCTTTGTGCACCTCCATGTGCAGATTTCGTGGCAGGTGCAGCACTTTGTGAACCTCCATGTGCAGATTTCCTGGCAGGTACAGCACTTTGGGAACCTCCATGCGCAGATTTCGTGGCAGGTGCAGCACTTTGTGAACCTCCATGCGCAGATTTCGTGGCAGGCACAGCACTTTGTGCACCTCCATGTGTAGATTTCTTCGCAGGCACAGCGCTTTGTGAACCTCCATGTGCAGATTTCGTGGCAGGCGCAGCATCTGGGGAGCTGGAAGCTGAGAAGTGGCGACTTTGTAGTACAACTTTAGTACGCGGAGTATCTGGCGAGCTGGGCGATGAGAACTGGCGACTTTGTAGTACAACTTTAGTACGCGGAGTATCTGTGGAGCTGGAAGCTGAGAACTGGCGACTTTCTAGTACAACTTTAGTACGCGGTGCAATCTGTGCAGCTAGAAGCTGAGCACTGGCGACTTTGTAGTACAACTTTAGTACGCGGAGTATCTGTGGAGCTGGAAGCTGAGAACTGGCAACTTTCTAGTACAACTTTAGTACGCGGAGCAATCTGTAGAGCTGGAAGCTGAGAACTGGCGACTTTCTAGTACAACTCTAGTACGCGGAGAACCTGGCAAGCTGGAAGCTGAGAACTGGCGACTTTCTAGTACAACTTTAGTACGCGGAGCAATCTGTAGAGCTGGAAGCTGAGAACTGGCGACATTGTAGTACAACTTTAGTACGCGGAGAACCTGGCAAGCTGGACGATGAGAACTGGCGACTTTGTAGTACAACTTCAGTACGCGGAGCAATCTGTGCAGCTAGAAGCTGAGAACTGGCGACTTCGTAGTACAACTTTAGTACACGGAGTATCTGGCGAGCTGGACGAGGAGAACTGGCGACTTTGTAGTACAACTTTACTACGCGGAGTATCTGTGGAGCTGGATGGTGAGAACTGGCGACTTTCTAGTACAACTTTAGTACGCGGAGCAATCTGTAGAGCTGGAAGCTGAGAACTGGCGACTTTGTAGTACAACTTTAGCACGCGGAGTATCTGGCAAGCTGGGCGATGAGAACTGGCGACTTTGTAGTACAACTTCAGCACGCTGAGCAATCTGTGCAGCTAGAAGCTGAGGACTGGCGACTTCGTAGTACAACTAGAGTTGTACTGGCGAACAGTGTAGTACGCGGAGGAGTCATCTCTCGCTGCTCATTCATCTCTCGCTGCTGAGTCAGCTCTCGCTATAGCCATCTCTCGCGACTGAGTCATCTCTCGCTGCTGAGTCATCTCTCGCGGCGTGCGCGTTCAGTTCATACTGATAGTATTTGGTTGCAGTTATGCAGGACAGGACATTCAACTGCTGGTCAAGACACCACTCATCGTACACCAGCCAGCATACACCACTCATCATACACCACTCGTCATACACCACTCATCATACACCACTCAACATACACCACTCATCATTCATCACTTGTCATACACCCCTCATCATACAAGACTCATCATACATAGTCTCAGAGTTCAAGACAGATTTTACATTCAAATTCGGATTCCATTCAGTCCGATGTGGACCGCATCCTTGGCAAGTCGTGGTGGCCGGATGTGTGTCATCTCTCGCAGGGGGCACACACACCTTACACACGTGGAAGTCCGGAGCGCGTGCGTTTGACTGGAGGACGCGCATGTTGGAGAGAACGTGGACACTCCTATAGGTCAATTTCTTCTTATAGGAAACTTCCGCCGCCGGCTTGCCCGGGAACTACTTGTATCTATTTTCTTTTTGGCTAGTGACTAGTGTCCAATATCTTCTGGTTCATGGTGAAGCTGATCTTCTGATCCACCCTTGTCTCATGCCATCTCTTTGAGAGATAGCATTCTGATCCACCCTTTTCCCATGCTGATCCTCCTATCCATCAACCATTCTCATCCTTCTTCTTGATCTTCTCATCTTCCTTGCTCTTCCCATCCTTCCCATCTGTGCAGCCAATGTGTACTCATATGACTCATATGGGATCTTCCTCCCCACCCTCTTCCCCTCCCTCCTCATCCAATAGGCTGTACATTTCCACATTGCAGTCCATACACCCACTGGAATACCTGCACTTGCTGCACCCACTCGAGTACCAAATGCCAATTGGCATGGCTCTCTGATCTATCATATCAGATCTCTTATCAAGCTTGTGCCAATATGCTCAGAGCTCTCACGGTTCTCATGGTTCAAGCTCTCATGATTCACACAGAATCCCATCAACCATCATCCAGTGCAGGTCATCACCTTTATTAGGGGTATGTGGTCCTCCAATACCTCCAATCTCAAACCTTGTTGATCTTAAAGGGGGGGCTCCCGTTGATCAATCCGACGTCGACATTACGTAACACGAAGAACACTTTACTTATCACTGCTTCGAAAACAACGCGGTAAAATCTCGAAATTATGTATATATGTTTCTGGGCCCGCACCCACATCACCAAGTACAAGGAGGTGACCAATTGCACAAGAAGCCTCAAAAACTGCGTATGCCACGGAAGAAAACTCGATGATGTTGCCAAGTACCTGAGCTTTGGAGTCTTTGTCTTTGTGTTGCTTTGTTCGGCCACCTGCTACAGCACCGGAGGGTTTCTGTTTGATGCCATTGTGGTGGAAGCCTCGGCAACAAGGTTTTTGTGCTCCTGTCCATGCTGGCCGGCCCCATTCTTGGCCATTGGTTGGTTCTTGTCTTGGGACCGGTTTGAAGACTTGGAGGGAGGGAAGTCATTTTGCAAGCAGTTGCTGGGCGCTGTAGCCCCCATCCTTCACTATTGTGGCAGTTTGCAAAGCAACAAAGGTTGTCCGGTGCCAAATGCATGCAAAAGGAACGGACAGGATTAGCAAACATGGCCACGAGTACTGGGGGCCTTTGTCATCCGTCGTTCTGAGGTCTTGCAGTGAGTCTTGCAGCACTTGCACTTGTCTTTCTCGCTCGGATCTTGCATTGCAAAGTATGTTGTCGACTGCTTGCATCCTGGGCGCTTGCATTGGTTTTGACATGGACCAACGAGGATAGCCTTGAAAGGGCTGCTCTTCCGAACTGCGTTCGTGCTCTCTTTTTGCCGCTGATGGCGCAGCATAGGAAAGGTCAAACCACCTTAAAGACACCATAAGACTCCAAGACCTGTGACTATGCTGCAAATTTGCCTTGGTTTTGTCTATCTAAGTAATGCTTTGAGCAGCATGTGCTTGCAACTCGCAAAAGGGTTGCACGCAGTCACCAGGAACGTGGTTGCGGTTCTTTGTGGAATTCTTGCTTTCCTTGTGTGCAAGAGGTTGATGACCCAAAGGATTCTGCACTTTGCGTGCAAATTCGCAATGCGGTCATGGTCCATGGTGGCGATTGAACGATTTGAGAATTGCATGGATACCTCGCACCAAACTTGTTGAAACATCACCACACACTTTGATACACTTTGACACAGTGCCCTGCCTTTCCTCGATCTTTCTCGGGCGTCATCACAAAGGGTCCAGCCATGTGATTAAGCACAGCATCTACCTAAGTAAAATGAAAGGCTCCTTAAACCTTGCAAAACGCCACTAATTATTTGATGAACAAAATTGGTTTGCCGAATGTCCCTGAACAACCTCATACATTGGACCCACGACTTGACCATCTACCAGTGAAGGACAAGCATGTCGATCAATCATCATTCCCCTCGTGAGCACTGAACATCAACCATGAAAACACCACATGCACTGCTCCAAGTACTGAGATCAACTATAGTCTATTATAGTCAATATTTTTGCTACTTTGTGTTGTTCTTCCATGTCTTGAAACAGGTCGAAGCATTTGATTATGAATTTCATATATATATATATATACATAATATAGTTAAGTCTTCTCCGAAATATAGCTAAAAGGGTGCAACCAAAGTGAAGACCAGCATGCACCCCGATGATATATTGTGCAACTATCCTCTTAGAGAGCCAAGCTGCCATGACATTGACACCGTTTGCACGACACCTGGCAAACGAACGGTGCGCAATTCAACTTACTGTAAAATGCTGCTTGGACGGCATAATTAGCTCTTAGTGTCAACAAATGTAGAAGTTAGCACTGCTTGAGACCTTGCAACATGACAACACCCTCTTCAACTTACACAGGCCGATAGCCTTTTGACCATGTCCATAAACTCGAAAGTGCTCCCGCTGCGGGAGTCCAGCCTCCCCACGTGCCGTGAACAGCAAAGCACCCTTCTACTATCAAGAGCTGCTCACAAGGACAAACAACCGGGTGAATTGGTGTGATGTAAACTGCCAGTGGCAAGTACTCAGCTTGGAGACAAAGCATAATATGACTTCTATGAGGGAGACCCCCAACGAATTTGTTAACCCAATTCCAGCTAGAGCAGAAACACGACCCACCTTTCTCAACGGACTGCCCATTGAGAATACCACCCTCCGTGCCCGAACTGCAATGTCCGATGCTGACAGAAATAGCATTTAAACAAAGATGTACACTAAAAGATCGCGCTTACAAATTCACACGCATGCCAGGGGGGTTGGCTAACTTACCAGACCCCTATCCAATCGATAGATGCACAGCGTTTCCTTGGACACATACTCTTGATTTCACATCAAAGTCGCCTATCCGGAAGCAATTCGTAGTTAATTCACATTACACAGTGGACATACCATTCAATTGTACAGGTGTTCACATTACAACAACCTGAGAGAAATACACTTTCAACTCCCGCAGTACCCACTGTAACACACGGGAAAGGGCTGATAAGGGAGGCGATCGTTCAGACGGACGTCCGCAAGTCGTGCCACTCCAACCAAGAGGTTTTGGCCAATTTTCATGGTTCCACGGAGTCTTCGGGATGGTCTCCCTATTTGAATACACACTCATCTGAGGATCAACCTGCTCACCCATCAAGGAAAAATGGTGGAAAGCAATCACACAATATGCACTCAACTTCAGCTTCTCGGGTTACTAGCGCTAGGGTTTAGTCACCCGGGTTTGCAGAAAGTCACCCGGCCGCATGGAAACGCAGCAATAGTCAAAAGTCACCCGGCTCGCGAAAAGTCACCCGGTTTATGTTAAAACACAATGTAAACGCTCTACGGAAGCATGTTTGTCAAAACTGCTATACATCAAGAATTCACTGCCCCTGTGCAGGAAAGAACTAGTTTGATGTCGAAGTTTGCAGCGTTTTGGTGACCAAACCCCAATCAGAACGCAAGGTTAGGACTATGGTGAAGATTACCCCCTAAACATAGATGCAGCACGCTGCCCTGCTTGCTTTGCTCTTCAAGAGCTGTGCATTAATGACCTTCATGTGGAAAAGATCACTAAAGGAAACATGGTGAGGCTGGCGCGAGTGCCACGCGAGTCTTTTCGACCCTGTCGCGAGTGCCGGGCGAGTCCCATGCAACCATGTACCCACGCCCCATGTACTCACGCCCCATGTACCTAATGGTGTTGAACTGACACTCCAAAGCTTATCTTCCAATGAGGGTGACATCTTGCATCTAACCCCAATGGAAACGCAGCATCCAGACGACTTTCTACAAGACCAGACGACTTAACACAAGTGCTAGTACATTAACGAGTGAAGGGCAATCGCCGGATGACCCAAAATGGTTGGGCCGCTTCAGTGCATGTTGGCGCGACCCACAAGAAGGCTTCCGAGCAGGCGAGGATGCGCAGCGTGGATATGGTGAGTATGTGTCGAATCAGGACTGCAAACAGCGAGAGGGAGCGACCTGCATAAAACAAACATGAACACAACAGGGAGGCGGGATACTAGACCGCTACCAAAGCAGAACCCAACAATGCACGTGCCGATGCGTGAATGGAGACCTACCAGGTACCAACCCTTTGTTGAGTATATCACCGCAGTACAAGTTCTCGTTGAGTGGTGGCCCCAAGACTGTGCACCACTCTCTCTCTCTCTCTCACACACACACACGCATGAACAGGACATATTCTGAGTGGCATAAAAAGTGAGTCATGAACACCACAGAGTGGATTCAGCCGTAGAAATATGTGGAAACCACGTGCGAAAGCGGCCGCTTTGGACATCCAATACATCGAATGGCCTGTAGGACACCGGCTGATATCTGGTCGCCCTGTGCGCATTGAATATCATAAAATAAGACTGACTCGTTTCTCTTCCAGCTTTAGGATGGGGCCAAGTATCTCCAAGAATGTGCTCTGTTGGAGGAGAAACCTGCCCAGTTGCCAGTTTCACAAGATCCTATTTGCTGCCAACCCTCTTTAGTATCGAAAGAACATTCATTCATACACCTGCACTGCGTTGAATCCAGCTTTCCCGAGGTAATTCTCACATTCGCTTCCTCAAGTCAAGATTTGTTGCAATTGATGACTCCATCGAAATGAGCCCTACAAACGCCATGGGCCAAGGGGTTCTCTGCAGAGAGGCAGTGCACTGGGGCACTCGCCAATGTCTTTCCACCGCCTCAGTTGCAATTCATTCATCGCCCCCCTGATTGAACAGATATGGTTGTATCATGTTCTATCGATAGATGATCTGAACCGCTGAAATGGATGCACACCTGTACAACCTGCGAATTCCGCAGCGTGCGCAAATGTGCACAAAGATGTAATCCATGCAGGGTCAAGGCTACAACCAGGGCTATAGCCGTGCTACAACCAGTGCCAGCTGTAAAGGGAGAAGCCTGCAATCATGCCCATGACCACGGTACCACCAGTGTCACAATGTGCAAGTTCCCCAAAGCCGCTAACAGCGGCGTAGCCTTGTTCTTTGTGCTTGGGTTCTTGTGGCACTGGGCTGTGCAAGGATCACAACAAATATGTGGGGACCTAGGAGCTCGCCCATGCACAAAAGCAAGTAATGTGGGAAAGCAGGTTTATGGAGTGCCTATGAGTGTGCCTCGCGTGACGTTTAGGTGTCATTCGCTTATCGTTTGAATTACTTTTTGGGAAGCGGAAGCGGATATTTATCAGGAAAATCTTTGAACAAAATGCTGTCAGATCTTTCAACAGAATGCATCTGGTTTAAGGCAAGGCAAATCCTTGATGAACACCTTCAGTTTAGTTTCCAAGTGTACATACCCACCTACCTACTCACGTGCAGCGTTGGAGCGACAGTGCCACATTTGCACCTCTTGAAACGGTTTTCTGTGTTGTTAGGAAAGAACGTTCTCCATGCCAACAGGTTTGCCAAATGTTGGTTGAAAAAACACGTTTGGGCAAAGGGTTCGCAAGCATCGTTGTATGTTTCCTTGCTTGGCTCTCCTAGGCCCTCGAAGGTTTGGACTGGCTCTTGAGGCTGTTAGACTTTTTGGTGCTGCGGCCGGGTGCTCTATCGTTTGTTGAAACTTGAAACGCTAGCCAAACACGGTAAGGCTTGAACACGCCTTGAAGATGCTATCTCATCTTTGCACTCCTGACTGGATGTCTGCGGTAATTGAGCGACGCAACGGTAAACAATTCGTTGACACTTGTGCACTGTCAAAGCACCTGTGCAGGGCATGCATCCAACATTCCTGAGAACACAGCATGCGCACATATGAAAAGAGCTCTATATGGACCAACAAGACGTACAAACCTCTGATGCGCGAAACGCCAGAGATACAAATCAATGGTTCGGTCAACATAGAGAAGAACCATCGCTGGTTCATCACATAGGAATGCAGCTGGACAAACAAAGGGACAAACACGGACAGACCGATGGTGGAAAAATAGAAAGACAGATTAGTCGAACTCAACGGAGTTGTGTTATTTTTTTGTGGTGTGGGGCTTATACACTGGGTCTGTACCTACGCGGGTGCCTACGCCTGGGCTCCCCTCTCAAGCAAATGCCTACGCGAGAGGTTCTCTTTGTTAGGTGCCTACGCGGGATGCCTACGCAGGGTACTGTCACCAACTTGAGTCACATCAGGTGACTCGAAAAGAGCTATATAATCCGCAAGTAGTGGCCCGATGCGATCGGGTCACATCAGGTTCCTGTTTACATGGCGTTTACAGCTTTGCTACCGATGGCCAGATAGATTTTGTATCAAGCCGATCCAATTACAGCGTGGAAGCAGCAGCACATAAACAGCGCACATCAAGCAGAAAACAAGAGGCAGCAGCAGCAGCAGCAGCCAAGCAGCAGCAAAAGCAGCAGCAAAAGCAGCAGCCAATAGCTTCTTGCCTACGCGCTGCTTCCGCGAGCGCCTACGCGGGGCCTACGCGAAAATAGGTCCATTGATTATGGTACCAACAGGGTGCGCACAGTTGTAGCTCAAGAGCCGGTGTGCCAGACCAAGCACGATCAAGCTTTTGACCTCAAAAACCAATGTGCCCCCATAGCTTCGACAAACAAACTTCAAACATCCACTGTAGCCATGTCGTTACAATTCATTTTCATTTTCCTTCCCCACTGGAATTTGCAAGCAAGTGTCAAGTTAAACAACTACAAGCCAACATTATCTTTCCCCAAGACCCTTGAATAACTTTTACAGAAGTCTGAATAAGAAAATTCAGGCTTTCATGAAAAGGGTGCCTACGCAAGACTGCCTACGCAAATCTTTCAACACCCACCTACGCAAAATGCTTACACGACGCCTACGCCCCAAGCAGAACAGCCTCCGCGACTTCTCAACAGTTCCCTTTTTGTATAAACCTAATCATTTGCAAAAAAAAACGTGGCAAGCTCCATCACAAGCATCCTTATTGTAACATCTTGCGTGTTCACATGAAGCAAATAAAGCGCTGGCATCACCATTTCTTGTGCATGGGGAGGCATCTAGATCTAGATATATCTAGATAATATGAGTAGAGATTGACAACAAAAATCAAACAAACAAAGACATAGATGCATATTGACTACAAAACATTAAGACCCCTTGCAATCAAACGTTCATATCAATGTCATCAACTTGCCTGAGACAATTGTTCATGAACCACGTCAATAAGTGAAGTTTAAGCGGGAACGACACTCAATAACATCCCTCTGCGAATACTGTACTACTTGGTGTTGAACACAAACCTGCTTCATAACTATTCCAATCCTTGCGTGCGATGAAACACGAACCTTATCCAGCCCCGGAACTCAGTTATATAGTTGAGTGGATACAGTGGATAGTGGGTGCCCCATCAATCGACTTTGAAACAGTCGGGCATACTGGCGCTGCCCTTCTGATCCTTCTGTTGGCCAGCTTCATCAAGTGCATGCCTATAGCTGGCTTCTTTGTTCGATCACGCTATTTCTGGGCGTGCAAGACTGCCAAGACTGTGGGAGTCAGTGGCTAGATACAGGAATTGAGAAACAGGTAAGGAGGGAAAGCAAAGGAACAAACAATCACGAGTTTAGTCAAGGCCAAAGCCAGCCTGGAGTTTGAACAAATTTCACATGCGCTGTCTGCCCATGTTGTCTGCGGATCGAGTGGTAGCCTGGTTGTCTCACAGAACAGATCTGTTCGAGACCGGTATCCAAGGTGTTACGCAAAAAAAGGTTGCGGCAAAAGGGAGCCCACTTGGGCCCTTTCACCAGCTCGTTGATCAGGACGGAATTCTGGTTACTTTTCTTCTTTCCAAAAGTAACTTCATAGGAAATCCACCTGAAAAGGGAGGGGACGAAAGCCAGCCTTTGTGCCAAGGGGGATGCCCTTAGGGCGAGGCTGGCGTTTCCAGGCATGGCCGTTTTTTTCGTTTTAGGTGAGGGGTGTGTTAGAGGGCAGAGTGGAGAAAGAGTAGTGGTGAAGTTGACATCGCAGCCACTCTCATAGGAGGTAGAAATGGAAAGTATAGTGCATAGGTTTGGGGGTGCCCTTTTTTTGTCGTGGTTCGGGCTCGTTTTGGAGGTGGAAAAGGGCACCCTGGACGGAAGTGAGGGGTGGTGGCTTGCTGTGTGGTGCCAATCAGTGAGCAAAGATGGCTATGGGGGGTCGAGGGGCCAGGTTATCGGCAGGCTTTCGGGAGGAAACATATATGTACATAGGTAGAGTGGAGAAAGAGTAGCCGGAAGTGGTGAATTTGACCCAGTAGAAACAGAAAGTATAGTGCGCAGGTTCGGCGGGGGTGCCCTTTTTCGTCCTGGTTCGGGCTCGTTTTGGAGGTGAAAAAGGGCACCCTGGAAGGAAGTGAGGGGTGGTAGCTTGCTGTGTGGTGCCAATCAGTGAGCAAAAATGGTTCTGGGGGCCGAGGGGCGAGGTTATCGGCAGGCTTCGGGAGGAGACATATATGTATACAGGTAAAGGGCTGGAAGTGATGAAGTTGATATTGCAGCTACTGGAGCGCGCGAGATGAAGGGAGTGGCTGACATCGGGCAAAGCATACGTTTAGGTGGACCACTGCATTACATGAACTCGTGCACCATATGGGGCGCCCGTTTGCGTATAGTTGACAGGCATTGACAGGCGTCTTCACCATTAAGAAAGGGCACCCCCCAGCAACTCTACTGTAACATTTCTTGCAGGCCCTCTTTTCCTACCACATCCTCCTACGCTATGCCTGGCTCCCCACAGCATTTTGGCTCCTCACAAATTCTGAGTGTCTGAAGAGACACGCACCTCCCTTTCACCCCTGGTCGAACACTATTGCACTGGCCATGAAAGGCGCGCGTCTCCCTTTTCTGGAGTTCCAACCACTGTCCCGTTGTCTCCTCTTCCCTATCGTTGACATGAGTCTTTGTCTGTAGTAGACAACTCGTGATGCTAATGATGCACTACTGGCCGTCAATTACATCACCGGCATCGCAACACCCCGAAAAACTACTCATTTTCACTAACAAGTGGCCACCTCTTTTTTTTTTTTCGCTCCTTGACCAGGGTCTGGGTCAGCCTCTCCGAGATTGCCCCTCTCGCAACCACAACCCCCACACCCCCTTTACTCACTTCGTTGGCATAGCTACCTCAAGCCTTGCCTATCGGCTGGCTTTTACTATTTACTTTCATTACTTTTTTCTCTGATTTTTGGCCGCTTCCAACATGTTCCTGCCAAGCCAAGCTTCCGTATTCGTTGCAAGGATTTTGTACATATGGTTTTGCATTGTTTGCAAGGTCTCACCAAGTGGTCCACTCATTAGCCTTTCAAGGCTGGCTTGGAACAAAACCCCAGCGAAGGGAGTGATCAAGGAAAGGGAATATTGCGGGCTTCTAAACCAAGCGTGCGGGTTGGTCAGCTTTTCTGATCTTTTCTGCGCACAGCTGATTGTATTCCCAATCCGTGTTTCAGTGCATTCTTCAGCGTGACGGTAACCAGTAACCCTTCAAAACTACCTTTTGTAAAGGTCTTAGAAACAGTGCCACTTCTGGCTTCGTATTTCAACTTGCACTGCGCACACTCCAGGGTGGTAACCATTCGAAGAGGTGAACTGCAATCAATTGTGGTCGCGACCTACAGGCAGGAACAAATTCAAGCAAGACAGTCGCTGTGGAACCACGCAACAGCAGCAGGCTTTCCATGTTTGGCACACATGCAAGCACCTCTTTTCTCATCCAACTCTCAGTAGTGCGGTTTTGACGAATCATGAATAATCCAAAAAAGCAACTGAATCTAAGCGTTCAAACCCTCAAAACGCCCTCGGCCTTAAGGCCTCAATGCTCAAGCAAACTTTTGCAATCGTTTGCAAAGGGGTGGGGCGTCGTGATGGGACACACGAAGCTAAGAAAACGCCCTCACTGGCTTTTGCAGTGAACCAGTGCGAATTTTTGGATACCTGGTGCAAAACAACAGGTTTTTTTTTTTTTTTTCTGGCACATTTTGTTGCGTGAGATCATTTTATGTAATCTCTACCGTATACAATTGGCACGACTGCTTTGTCAGGCAGCTTGTAAGGCCAGTCAGCCAGTCAGCATAGTTTTAACGTCTCCGAAACTGTTTGGTTGGACTTTCAGTCCTAATCCAGCAAATGGAGCCGTGCACCTTTGTGCAGTACTGATAGCTGGCCGGTCTGATGCGCAAGAATGCACTAGTGTCACTAGCGCTTGGAATTGGAAATAAGGGTGAAACGGCAAAGATGCAGCTCATCTCGGGGAAAATGCTGCGCAATTGACCGTGACAAGTGCTGCAACTTCTATCTGTACCGCAGGTCGGCAAAGCCCAATGCAATGCTGCTAAGGTGCAATCTGCAAAAACCGCCGTGCTTTGTTGGTGCTTACACTTCCTCTGAGCGCCCAAGAATAGTTGGTTCCAAACTGTTCTCATCCTGCGCAAGAAACATGAGCATTGCTTGCCACGACAAACATGCAAGTTGAACATAGAAATGTGCTCCAGATTCTTGATAGGTGGCATGTCAGTGTTTGAACAACCCTCTGCAGCAGAACCTGCCTGAGATGGAAGGGCCGTTTCAGTGGTTCGCACCTCTATTCCACGATCGCCTGCACACCAAGGCTGGGAGGCACGGCGTAAGTAGTGTGAAGTCTACAAAGTTGTGAGCTTCCATATCTTTCCATTCTGTGAGAGTTTGGAAACCCAAAACCAGTGCCAGGCATTGTGCGCACACTTTCCCTGGTGTACTGCAAACTAGATCATTTCCATAGTAGCTGGTCATCTACTTCCCTCTTACCACCAAAGCCTGCTTGTTGGGCGGCGAAGCGTCGCTGGGCCAGGGTTGGGTTTGGTATCTCC